TTAAAAATAACTTCTATTGTTTATAAAATATACATTCTTAAAGCTTTGGTTGGTCTAGAAATCATTTCATCATCTGCTGGTATCTACTGATAGACACAGAAAAAAGTAATTCTTTAACTACAGAAAATGCTTTACTTGTGTGCAATTGGGTCCCTGTCTAAGAAAGACAATCATTATAGAAACCATAGGAAGATGTCACCTAGCAGCCCAGACTTATCAGTTTCAATACACTTCCAAGGATTTTCTTATCAATGAAAAATAAATTCAAGCAAGGCACCAGCTACAGCTGTTACTGTTACTCTAAACCATACAAGATACCAACTTACCAATGTTATGGTTGTTCTTGTGATATGACCCCAGTATTCCATTATATCTTTCGAAGGAGAAACACCAAAAAGAGTAAACTGGTCCATAGTCTCTGATGCAGTCCACAAGATGGCAACTTAAGTGCATGTTTGGAGTACAAAATTCTGGCCCATACAGTTTCTCAAAATGCTTACAAAATTCAATGATCTTTGCCTCTGCCGTCAAACACTGTTCTACTGTTAAGGACCGACGACAAATTAGGCGACAGGCAGTTACAAAACACACCCATGCATCATAATGCTCTTGGGGCAATAGGCCCTTTAACGCAAACAATGAATAGTAAATAACCCAGTTCTTCCACTGGTCTGCTGTAAATCCACTAAATCCTGAAGCAATCTTAGAAGGAATCCTTCCAATTTCCGGTGGTGGAACAATAGCATCAACTCTTCTTTGCAACAAGTCCAAGTGTTTATCAGTGAGCAATTCCTTTTCTTTCCAAACCTTTAGTGTAGTTTTTGCTAATCCAAGGAAAAGGTTGTGCATAGGATCAATAATGACAAAACGTACAGCATCATAGTATGGCAACTGTAGAAGAACAGAGTATTTTGCGCCAGTTTTGCGCACATGAGTGCTTATTTCTGTTTGGCACCTGGCAAATCTAACAGCCTCTGCATGTGCCCGGTGAAGCTCATTTGTTCTTTTCTCCCACGATGTTGTATCAAAACCAGAAAAATCTGGTTTCGATCCAAAAGTGGTTCGTGGAAATGTCTTGAAACACTTGTTACAACCTGAGAAACAAAAACAAACAAAAACAACACAAAACCTTGATTATTTGGATCTACCCTCTTTGCTTCACTGAAGAACCTTACAACTCCATACTTGGTCAGTTCACCATCAAGCCTACATGTAAAGTGTAAGTTATTTATGAACAAAATTCATTGGAATATCATTGCTGTAGAACTTAATTATTACTTTACAAACTATTATTATTCCAAAATACTTTTGAATATCAGCTGAAATAACGCTGAAGAAAAAAGAGAAGACTTGTCTCACCTAGTCTGAGAGATCTTTATAAGTTGGGAACATATTCCCTACACATAGATAATTCAAGCTCTCAATCTAGGTACTACCAAAAGTGACAATTAGATAACTTACAAAACAAATTCAATCAGTCCTGTTCTTAAAAATTAATATCTAATTAGAACTTTAATATACAAGTACCTTTTGCTGCTGAATGGCCAGCAAATCCCCCACATTTCCTTGTAGCTGGCACATCACAACACAAAGCCAGGAGTGCAACTCGAAGCTTCAACATGCCTCCTGGTAGACATGAATCCTCAATAATCACACCATCCCAAAAGTCTATAAGTTCATCAACGAGTGGTTTCAGGAAAGAATTGATGTCACCCTTTGGCTCTTTGGGACCCGGGATAATTCCCACGAGTATAACATTCTCTGGTTTAAACCTCTCCTCTCTTGGAAGATTCATTAGTACTAAATAAATAACACCACAACTGTGATTTGTGTGTTTGTACGGCTGGAACCAATCAACGTTCAGCATGACACCAAGATTTGCTGGTGTAGAGAAAAATTTTTCTCCATCAGAATCCAAGAACTCCTTCCAGACTTTTCCATCAAAGACATCTGCCATGGCATCCCCTGTTGGCCTTTTATTTCTCCAAGATTCACAGTTTTCAATAAAACCAGGTTTTGTTATCAGTGACCTTAGAGAATCAGTTAATCTCTTAAAACAATACAGATTCTTCGGATGTAAGAATGAAGAACCATTCTTCGAACGCATTTGCTTCATTAAGAAAGCACCACACGGTTTCCTCCTGTTTCTCTGAGGATGGTTTGGAAATCGAACATGATCACATTTCTTGGAAACAAGCCGTCCATTCGTTCTTCTTGTAACACACTCCTCTGCTTTATACAAGGTGCAGCACTTTGGACATGCAACATATTTGTCAAAGTCATCTCCTCCAATTCCAATAAAAGACTTGGCCAAGTAAAGTGTCTGAGGTAAACTTTGGGCAAATTGAACAAGGATGTCAACCCTAGTTACCTTTCCAATCAATGTCAGGAAAAGACGTAGGAATTTTAGAAGCATTAGGATCCCATTGTCTGAAACTTTGTAGAGAGTTTGCCAAAGGAAAAGGAATAAAACAAGCACTCTTGATTCTGATGAAACTCTGTTGTCACTCTGTGGAAATGAGTCATAAAATTGGTCATCTTCACAGTACTCAAAACTCTCAGGTCCATCACCATCACCATCACCATCTTCTTGATTAGAGTCCTATGAAAATAAAGTATGAGCTTATTTTTAATCAGTAAAAGCATAAAGTTAAAATATTACCAATCCTAAACAAGTCGTTAATGAGTACTCAGGTGCTCCTGGGTGTTTTGAGTCAAAATAGAAGATTTGATTTGATTTGATTTTGACGACACCTGCATAACATAAATTTTTACAGTTCATAGTTACCTTAGTATTATCACAACCACTAGTACAAAATGTTTCAACTTCTGGCTCATCACAGTCACTGAAGAAAATCTGATCTTCATCATCAAACAGAAGAGACGATTCCTCCTGATCACTGTAGCTATGATCATAGTCCTCTTCATTGTGTACTATTTCTTTAGCCAGTTCTTCAGGTGAAATTGATCCTGAGGTATATTCAGTTTCAACAGCAAGTTCCAAGGAATCACATTTTATAGTATCACTTAATGGCAGATTCCGATGCTCATAAAATGTCTTCTTGGCAACACGCTTTTTACAATGGTCACAAAAAACGTAGTCTTCAGGTTCACCTAAACAAAATGTACCATCATTAGTTACCATGCATAATTGGCAATATATGAGGAGATAGTCTGTGTATTGGCAATATACTTGTAATAAACAAGCTAGCTCAGAGGTGATTAGCCAAGTATTATTCACCTCCGAGCAGCCCAGAGGCGCGAGCTTTTTAAATTCCGAGCATTTAACAAAAATAAAGTAATTATAGGTCTGCTGGTTATTCAGCTTGTGTGGTATATAATACTAAAACAAATACAGTAGAATCCCAGTTTTTCAAACCCTCAGTTTGTCGAACCTCCATATAATTCAAACTGAAAAAGACTTGCCTTCCCCAGTCAAACACTGTCATTTTAGCCTTATTTTCTTGAACCTTCCTCGTCCTCGTCCTCACTACATCCCTTGGACGTGAGACACCCGGGGGGAGGGGGAGGGGGGAATTGTTGGTCCAAAAGAAAAAATGTCCAGGTTTGTGATCTCCAGAGGTTGTGACATCTCTGCGATTTGGGGTATAATAGGCCCATTTCCACGAGGGCAATTTTCGGTAACACAGCACACATCCGCCTAAATGTCTTCCAAAGACAAACGTGTTATGATCAAACGAGGCGGAGCAATAATTCTACAGCTTTTCTTAATTTTTCTATTCATATGACTTCAGATACACTTACCAACATCAGTCTTCAATTTTTCGCACGGCAGGTGATCATAATACGCGGTCTTCCCGAAGTTTCGGCCACAGCTCTGACATGTTTTTCTTGTCGCCATGTTTGATTGCAATTCCCGGATAGATCACTCTGTGACCAGGCAAAAAAAGAGCGCTTGTTGTGATTGGCTAGGAAAACAATAGCTATTCTCATTTTGACCAATAATGAAGCTGTATGATCAACACCGCGTCCCTTTCGAATCGTGTTCATTTCACACTTTCTGCATTGGCACTGAGTTGGTTAGTTGGATCTACGGCGTATTTCTGGTTTATTTCCTGAATTGGGACAAGTCTACCTTGTATATGCTCTGTACCTTAAAAGGTGTTTCTGGCGTCGAAATAGGTAAGTTAAAATCCTTTATTCGTTCTACTATATTTGCGATGTATTCATCCAAAGTCATCGTTGTTGACAGTTGAATTGATCGAGCTGAATAAAGATGACCTGATCATATCGATCTCCTGCTTGTTTTTGAATTCCCATATTGTCTAGTATTGATTGTTCGCTAGCTGGTTAAATGTTAAGGTTTTAAAACTGGAAAAACTTAAACTTTTCTGTCAAAAATCGTGAACGATTTGAACTTAGAGCTTCGACGAAGAAATGTAACACCTTTCATTTATTGATATGCAAAGTTGTTCCCGCGCTTTATGAGCTTTTTCAGTTGTTAAAGCAGGAATACCGTCCACGTACTAACCGCAGTTGCTCGGAACCGTACATAAAGTTTATCTTTTGGACGATTTAGTGTGTAGTTTGTTTGTTCTGACTGTTTCTAATAAATGTCGCCATGGAGGAGTTCACGCTCATAGTGGCATCATGGGTAATCAGGGCAAGATGGCGGGAAAATCAAAGATTTGCCAGGATTCTTCCTGAATTCATATATTTGCCATGTTCTCCTTGAAAATAGTAACTTATAAGTTCAAAGAAACAATACACTAAATCTGGAGTGCAAAGATTTCCGTGATCAGTTTTTAGAAAACCTCGATTTTCCCATAAATTTTCTGTAATTCGACGGTATCAAAATTACAGAAAATGTATCGAAAAATTGAGGTTTTTTTAAGAACTGAACACGGACTTAGGGGACTTTGCTCTAGAAACCGACGTTTGTTTAATCATACAATTTGGCTTGCATTCTTTATTGTCTTCTTTTTGTTTAATTACACAAAACATAAATTTTTTTTGTGGATTCTTTACACAGTCAAGAGATGGCCCAACCAGGTTCATTTTTTGGACACAATAGAAGATCTGGCTCTGGAAGGGAAAGAAGCATTAGCTCAACTACAAGCTCAGCAAGTACATCTAGGAGTGAGACTCCCCCAAGCAGAGCTGGAAATATTGTCATATCATCATCTGAAGTAGGAAAGATATTTGATGCAATAAACTCACTGTCCAATAAAATGAGTACACAAGAAGAAATGTTAAAAAAACTGACAACTGCAATGGAAGATTTGGAAGATGAGGTGCAAGAACTGAAAGTTAATGAGAGATCTCTTCTTGAAAAAATTGAAATGATGCATGATCGCGAGGTGGTTGAAGATGGATCAAAAATTCCGCCAGAAGTTTCAGTAAGTGTACACTACAGCAATTCCTTCCCTTAACACACCTTGAAGTGAAATTAAGACAGTCTCCCTGTTATTTCATGTCTCCTCCCTGATGCTCACCCACTTGGTACATTTGAAACTGGGATAACTGCCTGTTATACCAAGTGCTCAATCCTGACAATCTTAATGGGGAACCATAGACTGGTGTGCCAGCTTGCAAAAGACTACAGTATATTTTGACTTGAGCACTTCTCCTAAAAAATTCTTTTGAAGTTTTTTTCTGTAATATACATGTTGTGATTCAAATTTGTCCTTGGCTAAAATTTTGTTTTTCGTTGTTTTTGATTATAAATTTGAAGCTAAGGAAAATAAAATTTAAACCGTGGATAAAATTTAAGCACAACATATGCAATTTAGATTTGCTATATCCACACTTTTCCAGGTAATGCTCAATGTATGGTTAACAGAAGTTGTAAATCCTTGTAGATTTTTTTGCTCATATCCATCTCTATTGTTTTTTCCTACAGCTAGCTGAAAAAATCTGCTTTGGTATAGTTTCTTAACTTTACATCCAGTTCTTGAAGAGATAATTTTACGAGTGGCTGTCTTTTACTCGTCAAGTCCTGAATCAATTTCTGTCATTTTTGGAGATGTTTGGATTTGTTTCCAATCCATAAACTCAGCTACATCAAAGGCACAAACCTCTCAGCCATTGTTTATGTCCATTTTGGTTAGCTTCTTCTCGGAAATGTCATACTCGATATTAAAGAAAGCAAAAATGCAGTGGATGCGAAGGAATGACTTCCTACCGTAAAGGCAGGTGTTGTCATAATAACACAAATACTGTAGGTTGCTGATTGGTTGATAATAAACACACAAACTTTATTCAAATACAATAGAACAAGAATTGCATTAACCGGCGGAAGGAAACTGCTTGTTTATTTATTTGTGGGAATAAACATCGGGTAAAATTGATTAGAAAACAATAGGGGGTGGGGGCCTGTGTTTAATAGTTTTTTTATACTAAAATGGGACTAGCTCCTGGCAAGTACTTTGTCTGATCTATTTTTAATTTTGCTCCAGCCATGTAGACTTCTTTTGGATACTGTTCTAAAATTTCTTTTTCACACCATAAGGTGATGATATGATTGCATAATAGTAGACTCCTCTATCAGCTTAGAAGTGAAAATCTAAGATTAATGGAATAGGAATGTTGCGAGCTACTAGGTCTTCATATGAGAAGGCCGACTAAAAGTCCTAGTTCTCGTCAGCTGGAGCCCCTTTTTTTGTTATTGTAAAGAGCATGAGGCTTGTTATGTTTGTCAGGTTTTTTTTAATGGCAGGTGTTATTGGTTATGGACCTTAGGGTCATAACTGCAGCTATGTACATGTATATATGTAACTTGATACCTCATCAATAATATCATTATTAGTCTTGTAGTTGTATTTTAGTAGAGTATGATTTGGTACAAACAAAAAATCCCACTTTGTTCACTTTAGGCAGATGTACATCTTCTTCACAACAACCTTTCATTAGACAGACAGTACAAGCCTGAGGAAAGGTATGACTGTTTTTTTTCTTTGCTGTGATTATTCAAAAATAGTTGAACTCTCAATATAATGTAGCTTAAGGTGACTTGCTACAATTTCAGATATAATCCTTCCTAAATCCTTAATCATTCCCAAATCCTTACATTTCTGCTATGTTTTTTTTCCTGCCAACAAAAAAATTCTTAAGTTTTCAAAGAGACTTATACAGATAGTAACTCTTATCCTTGATTATTGTTTTACTCTCCTCATTCAATAACTTTTAATAACCAATTTAACCAATTATTGGTTTGACATTTCTAGTGCCCTCTCACCACACAACTTGTCTGTGCGACACCATCTGGAAGAGCAGATAGCTAACGAAGATAAGGGATATGCCATTAAGACAGTCAAGCGTAAGTCTCATCATGAAAAATTATATGTTATTGATTGTTAACTGGCATGTGGTCAAGAGTTCAATAATGGGCCCTTGTCACACAGCAGCTAGTTGGTTTCTTCTACTACAGATGAAATCTTTGCTGATTTTCTTCAGCTCAGCCAAAAGCAGCTGAGCTACCATCCCTTCAGTCCTTTGTTCTAAACAGTTATCAGTAAAAGTGACTCATTTTTCATAGCAATGACAAACATCTTCCAAATCTGATCAACAGTTGCTGGTTATGAACAATTACAAGGCTGTACTCTAAGGAAAATTGTAGGAAACCCAGTGCTCTGAACCTGTAAAATCTAGGGTGCCCAGCGTATGATTTGTATGAAAAATCTGGGATTTTCTATTCGCCCTAGAGCAAAAATTAGGCGCCGGGGCCCACTAGACTCTGCTAAAGCACAGCCCTGAATTAGCAAGGGAATTTTCCAATAGGCTCTTTACATGACTTGATCAGGCTTAAATCTCCTTTTAATTAGTAACAGGCAATTTTAGCCTTGAAATGCGTAAGGGAAAGATTTAATGACAGTTTAAAATTTTTAGAATTTACAAGGATTTGTATGGAACACCATGCAAGCATGACTGGATGGCAAAAGTTGTTTTTCTCATACAAAAAAATGCTTCTAAGCTTCGGCAGCCGTTGCAATTGCTTGTTTTGAGACATTTGGCTGAAAATTCTCAGGTTACCTCATTTTAATATGCTCTTTCAGCTTGTGGTAACAAAATTTTTCAAAAATGAACTGTTTTTGTATTTACTGAAAGTTGATCACATAGTGAAGTCATGCAAAAACCTTATTTGAAACATTTGGAGAAATCTTTTGAAATATGAATAATAATATTTTATTTGGCAACCTTTCATGCAACTCAACTCTAGCAATTAACTAGTGCAAAATTATGTGCAATGGTGTTGCCATTTTGTGTTACTTAAGGTTAGATACTTTCAGCATGGGCCCCCGGGTGACTTATATACAAGTGTGGTAGAGTGTTCAGGTTTAACTGCAGATACCTTAATAAACATATATCAACAATTTAAAGCTTATTGAACTGGCTTTCTTTATAAACCAACACTGTCAATTTTTCTTTGTTTTTTTTTTTTTTGCTTAAGTTGCATGATCATACAAATATAGATACTCTTTCAGCTAAAAGTCAAACGACTTTGTTCAATTGACCTTAAATTTTGAGGAATGTTTTTTGTAATGAGTCAGCAACAAACGTGTGTTGGGGAATTCTGTGTTTCTTAAAACTTTGTTGTTAAAAGGAGTTTTTGTATGTTCATCCAAATTTTTTTTAGCCCTATTTAAAAATTTTTCTGTAACGTTTCATAAAAATTGAAAAGCTTATAAGTGCTTTGACTTCTAACAGAATTGAACAAATCAATTAATGAAAAAAAAATTGCTTTGAATTGTAGCTTTGGAAAAGTGATTCGGGCGCTCACAGTAAAAAAAAATTAAAAAGTTGACAGTACAAGTTTTTTTTTTTAAATCTTGGTCTATTACGTAAGATAGTAGTTCACTAAGCTTTAATTTGATATAGGGTTTTGGGTTTCTACAGGTTAACTGAAACACACTAAATCACTTGCATGTGAGACATCCCTGAAGGTATCTGGTAACCTTAAGTTCTTTGCAGATACTCAAAAACCTTAAAAAGCTATACATACATGCATGCAGCTGACTGAAACTATGGATGAAGGTGGTCTGATTTTATATTATGATAATGAAAATGACACTCTTTTCACTTTTATTTGCAGGTGGCATTGTTAGGTACTATGAAACAAAAAGAAAGCTTTATCTACAGTCATTACCTGAAAACAGGCAAAAAACGAAACAAACAAAACAGGAGAACAAAGTTCGTTCAAGAAGGAAAAGGGTATGTTGACTTAAACTTCTTTTCTTTTTTCTGCCACTTTGTGTGTAAAAAGCATCAACCAATAATAGTTCTGTACAGTGACAAATTACAGTTAATAGTAGTTTTGACTTTAAAATGACCAAGCGGATCACCCATAAGCCTCTATTGCATCTCCATTAGACAAAAGAATATTTAATTGCAGACTAAACTGTAATAACAGCTGTAAGTTGCTGTTTGAGTTGCAGCCTAGTTGGGCAGAACAGTAGCTATGACAATATTGTTTCCTTTCTTAAAGCTAGTGTAGGTTTCTGTATATATTTTTACCACCTCCAAATAGTGTGTAACACTAGAAAGAATTGACACTGAGAAAGTTACTCACTTACTCACTCAGCAAAATATTTCACCCTAATAAATTCATTTTAGACATTTTTTTCTGCAATTATTACTGGAATTAAGACTTTAGGTACATGGAATATATGTAGCCTGATTTTAATGTGAATTTTAAAATCTCTTTCAGCTTTTCAGTGCACGAGTTAAAGTGGCGAGGGGCCAAGAGAAGGAGTTGATGCAAGAGCTCAACTATGACTTTGTGAGTGACGAGGAAGATGGACCAGAAGGAAATTGGATCATAAGGTCACCAAGATGGAGGTCCCCAAGGGCCAGTGAATTGATGAGCCGTCTACAAAGACGAATAGATCAGACGAGAGAAGAAGAAGTGCGGCCACGTGTGCCAAGAGTTGAGGGACCTTTCTCAGAAAGGCCCAGGCCCAAGGTTCATATACCTTGGGCCTTAGGGGAAGAGGCAGCAAGAGGTTTTGCTGAACCCAACTCAGAGCCAGAGGAGGTGCAGATAGAAACTCCTGCAGCATCACCACCGAGGAGGAGAAGAAAAAGATTCCATTCTTTAAATGATGACTCCGAAACTGATTAACTCTTTGGGCTATTTTTTAAATCAGTTTATTCCTTAAAACACTGTGAATAGTACTGCTCGTGAGAAATTTTTCTTCCCCTTTTTTCTTTCAAGGTTAGGGTTTCATCGCAAATTTTTTAATAGAATTTTTGAATGAATTTTTTCTACTGCAGAGCTCAGTATTGCTCACATATGAATAGCAATATCATTACTATATAAACATTGAAATAACATAGATTTTTTTTTATGTTGGAATGAAAAGGTTTATCCTAAGTAAGTGCAAATGAAAATCCAGGACAACATTTTAAATGGCATTTTTTACAAATAGTTAAAAAGAGAGTTCTTGGTAGTAATAATAATAATTTCAGTGTTTTTTTCCTTTAAAAGAAACTAAGTAATGCATTAGGCACTTCACAGATCATTAACGTGCATTTAAGGTCCCTGGACTCCTAAAAAATTCGCTTATGGTTAAACAAGACCTCTTTGTTAACAATGCGTTAAGCTCAAACCGTTTAGTTAATGGAATCCCGAATGAGAAAGCAACGTTTTCAACTTACAAGTATTGTAAATATTGTATAAATGACTAAAATGTTTTTTAATTAAATAAAGTTTTGTTGGCTGATAATTACAATGTCTTCCTTCATTGAACTGCGCGAGACAAAAAGTAGTCCACAAAGACGTTCTTAGGGCTTCCTCACGTGTCCCTTCCCTAAGGAGAGCGTTGCGAAGCCCTAAGAACGACTGCGATGGAGGCTTGTCAAAAAGGAGACTACTGTAATCCGCGTAGATAGATCTAAGTATAGACCCCATGTGAAAGGGGAATCCTATAAGACCAAAGCATATGAACGACCCAAAAGCGTAAACATTCAATAAAACATAAAACACGTTCGTGTTCAAGAATATGCAAACTGAATTTCAGGAACCAGATATAAGCATTGCTAGTCGCGATCGTATATTCTTGGACACGAAGAGTGTTCGCAGTTGTTCTACTTTGAATACTGCAGAATACCAAGTTCCGCAAAGTCATGACCTTTGGTGCGCGTTCGCAAACGCGGCGAACACTTGAGATGTGCGTTAGTATTCGGGCGTGTTCGCGTCGGGTATACCGTTCGTCACTGTCGTGTTCGCGTCGTATGCGGACTCGAAAATTTGTGGTCATACTAAGATGTTCCAATGACAAATGATCATCATTGTTCGAAACTGGTCAATATTGATCTTTTTAGAAAAGGAGTCGGGAGTATGCCGTTTAGAATGCTTCTTAGTATTCCAGGGTATTCTATTTGAATTCGGAAAAACAGTCCGGATTCTAAGTAGAATATTCTAGGTGTACGTCGCGTCATGCGTCCTTGAATACTTCAGGATATTATCGTATACTCCACGTGTGCCTATCCGTATTCGGGCAAATTCGGTCGCGAATATGTGCCTTTTTGCCCAGTGGATTGCCAAAAGATCGACATCATGGAGGTAGCTCGCTAGATCACCTAAGGTATTTAATGTTTGATATGCGTTCCGTTTTCCATAGAGCGAAAACTTTATCAACTGTCGGAACCAAACAGATTAGTTATCAAATTTTTATATGTATATTCTTTCTACGGGTAACGAGCCCGCGTGTGGGGATAAGGTTGTGAGGTACTGAGGCAACTGTCTTCCATGTCACATCAATTCTGATACGAGTTCAACGCGTCTGCTGAACAAGACAAACAACTGTTATTTATTTTCCCTTTTTCATTTATTTTTCAAACACCTTGCCATCAGTTTTACAGGAAAGAACCTGTAATCTAGGCCGCAGGCCCCAAATTCATGGACTTAAAAAGCTCAGCATCGGTGAAAACTCGCAATGCTGCAAATATGAAGAATTTACGAACAGATGTTTGTTTAACTCTATCTTATGATTTTATAAGTTTCTTCGGTCCGTGTCCTCTACTAGCAAGACGTTAATCAATAAACAGCTTAATGCGACATTTCCTCTTTGTTAATAGTTCCACCGAGTCCAACTATGTCTTTCTGGTCTCAGACTACATCGGTCCGTTATGAAACCTAACCTGAGATCAGGCTCAATTTTCTTTTCGCTTTGTAAATAACATTCCTGTGGCCGTTAGAGAGGATGTATGAGAACTGCTAAAATTAGGCCTGATCTCAGGTTATGAAAACTCAATTGAAATACGCATCTCTTTTCAGGGGATTATACACAGCTGTACGTAAAAGTAAAAAAACTCATCCAGCAATTGATCCAATCCCCTCTAGCTTTTATTAACTGGGCTGCCTCAAGGCACGCCGTAGTTCATAAAATGGGTAGTTTTCTCTGTCGAAAAACGAAATTCACACAGTTGTTGTCTTTCCCTGCGATTGGCATCGTCGTGAAATGTAAACTGTTTTCCAGCTTTGTACTTTATAACTTCTAAAGCTATGGCAGTAGCGAATTGTGAGGCTCAGTAATAAAATGTGGAAACCAACGCTTTTAATATTAAGAAGGGCTGGGTAAGTAACTTGTTCTGTTTTTTAGCCGTTCTAAAATCGTTGTTTGCAGATCAATGGCGGATTTTGTTTATGGCTCGTGGTCCGGATGCCTTTTTCTATGGGTTTACCAGTATAATAAACCATAGGCTTTTGGCCAATCAGATCACGCGTACTATCTCAGTTATTTTATAATAATTCATAAGCCCATTGACCTATCAAATAGTCGATCATACATCGCTTACAGTGACTTTATATCGATAAAATCTCCCCTTATTAGTATGCGGTGTTTTATCAGATATAAAGTCACTGCACGTGACTTATACTTACGAATATTAATTATCAGCACAGCAACTGACACAACAAATGGTGGGTGAATATTTAATGTTCTTTCAAAATAACACACGAAGTAAATTTACTATTGCACAAAATCAAACTTTGTTCTTTCACCAATTTTATCAGCCAAAAGGTCAGTGACTGAAAGGTAATATTGGGTATAGTAGTGTCCAAGCGTT